TCTGTGGTCCTGCCAAAGTACTTGTATTTCCCCAGCATCAGTGATTATAAGTTTATCCTCTTTATCAGTCCATGCTTCTTTCTCTGGAAGGCCCAGCAGGTTCTGCAGCCACATGGCCTCAGCAGTCATTCTGTCCAGCAGTTTTCTCCACAGCTGCCGCCTGCAGGGGGCACCACACACCAACATAAGCTGAAGGGTTGTTGCACAGAGGCAGAGTATAGAACATTGGTATGTGTACAACAGAGAAACACATTAAGAAACTAGTCCTACATTACTACTCAGAAGTTAATGAATTCACCCTAAGGTGCCAGCTGTTAGGGGATGATTCAGTCCAGAAGGTTCTGAAAGCTGCAAATACAGAGAGTTGAGTTGGGCCAGGCCCTCTTCTCTTGTGAGGGAGCCCTGGGATGACTCTTCATCAGGTAGAGACAACAAAGCCTTAAATATGTGGTAAGAAAAACAAACACACTAATATGATGTCTTTTATCATCAACACCATATGAAATCTCACCTATATTTATTATAAAAAGACTAAATTTACTGCTTTTCGTTGTAGTGTCAGGTTTCATGTCACTAATAGATAATGTGTACACCTGTCGGAGAGTATCAACAGAGTAGTCCCAGGTGCTTCCTTGATCCAGTTTTTGCCACAGTGCCTTCAGGCCCTCCACTGGCACATCCCGGTACTGCAACTAAAACCATAGAACGTGTTCACCAGTCTGAAGCAGTTTATGTGAGGTGTATGCGCCTGTGCACACAAAAGAAATTACTGCCACAAAACCTGAAGGTTATCACCATCAACAGTCACCCTTAAAAATGATGGATGTCATCATTTTTATTTATTCTTATGGCAAAGGAAAGAGATCAATATAAAACATGGCCATGTGAAAGGCCCTAAGAAGAACAATCACCATCTGGTAATAACTGACATGACTTAATGAGAAAAGTCTTCTAATATTTCAAATTAGAATAATCTTTAAAAGTAAACATTTTTATCCAAATGACTGCTTACAGCTTACTGTCTGTTATTAAACATAATGTCCCATGTCCATTGAGAATTATTTTAGGAGGCCATCATGCTCTATATTTACTGGAAAGTCTAATCAGCCTCCTAATTAGCCCAGTTAAAGCTTGGTTTCTATTGTAGTGCTCGGGGAAGACAAACCATATTGCATAGTACAGAGGCAACAGTGGATGGTTCTATATATTAGTGGTTATGATATATTATTAGCTAATGACCTGCCATAAATAATGCAATTACTTGGTGCTGAATGAATAGGGACAAAGACAGAATATAGGATGAGGAGGGGAAGTCATAACAAGCTAATCATACTGTTGCACACACAGTGAATTTTCAAACAGAAGAACACATTAGCGAGTCAGCTCACACTGAATCAGGTGGCGTGACTAAGATTGAGACTGAACAATACGAACAAAAACACTCTAAAAGAAAAATGTGTCATGCATTAGTGCTACATGAAACTGGGCCACCCTGCTGCACAATGAGCAATGTTTTTCACACTATGTATCAAAAAAAGGAAAGAGTTAAAAATGTCAAAGTCATCTACTCTCTATGGCCTATGCTGAGGTCCTAATATTGATTTGAACTAAAAAAAATTATAATTAAAAAAAGTTTAACTGAGATACACTAAAAATATAGCTTCTTTCTGCGCATATGTTCCACCTTTGGGTTTCTGCTCAGAAACAGTTGCTCTGTAGTGATGTAGAGCTCTGCAGGTGAGCTTGGTCTTTCTGGACTGTGGACCTGGTAGAGCACCTCATAGACAATCGACCGGCAGATCTTTTCCTGAACTACCTTTTCCAGTTTTGTCTGTTTGTCCACAAACAAACACAGAAAAAAGAGGAAAGATTATTTGTGTTAAGAGAAATACCAGTGCTATCTCTTTACTTGTGTTTTTATCTCACTTTCGTGGACTCAGCTGAATAGTAAAACTACCTCTATGAAAAGCCTCTCATCTGCAGTTCTGTCTTGGTACAGAGATATTCCCCTTAAGACAACTTGCATGGAGGCTCCTTGCAGCAGCACAGGATGGGTGCTGA